GTCGCGACTGGGTTCTCCGACAGTGACGGCGGGCTGCCTCTCATAGTAGGGCCGCCTCTGCTTTGGCCGGGGAGAGGGGCTCCTGGAGTTCTCCCTGTAGTGTCTCCGCGGGGGAGAAGGGTGTCGAACTTCTGTGACCCGAGGAGGTGGAGAGTGTGGCCTCCGATGCCTCCTCGGGGGTCGTCGATCATCTTCAAGTGCCCTTAATCTTTCTCCTTGGGCGAAGATGAGATAGTTCGTCTGATTAATGGCCGCGAACAGTGCCTGAGTCGTGGCATCTGCCCCGGCGGGAACTGGGACTTCATAGAACCGGGCAGCTCTGTAATGAGCGAGAGCTACCGGGTCGTCTTCGAGTGCTGGAGGGGTCGAAGAGGATGATGCAGTAGCCCCGTCCCTGTAGGAGGAAGGTCCAGGGGCGGTTGTCACAGGGATGGTACTGTGGCCGGGATCACCGGGGTTATCGAGGTGTCCATTCTTGTCCGCGGTACCGTTATTAGTGTCGGCGACACGGACGGGCTGCTCGTCGCGAGCTGGATCAGCCATGACAGGTAGTTGAATTGAGCTTTGGTCTTTAGAATTGTTCGTTAGACGGGGAAGCTAGGTTCCCACAGACGGCACCACTGATCTGACCTGATCAGAAATGGACCGTCACGGCTGGCTCCGAGCAGAAAGCTTTTTTGAACGAGGTGGGGGGGGGGGGGGGTACCTGCAAGGCACTCCGATGCTGAAGTAAGTAGGAGTACGAGCAGATAATAGCAAGTGTAAGGTTAGAATGATGAATACCTGACCCTCTGGAAACAGAGGGTATTTATAGCCCCCAGCGCTGGGCCAAGGTTCCTTCATTGGGCCGGGCAGGTTTGGCCCAATAGAGGAACTGCCAGGTTCTACGTGCGTAGTGGGGACCCGCACGTGGTCCCCTTCCTGGATGTTCTGCGTGAAGTGCGGGCGAACGAAGACGCGGTCTTTTCGGAGTATCGTTGGGGAACAGTGGACTGAGTCTGCCCTAACTGGGGTGCTCGAGGTAACGTCGAGCTGGACTTCAGAATGTGGTGCTGGACCACCTCATGTCGAGCTGGAGGTGTATCGTCGAGCCAGCGCCTGCGCGTCGGGCACGGTCTCACTCTTTGGTCGGTGTGGCCCTTATAAGTCCATTTAGACTGGGCCTTTGCAATGCTTTTGGGCCTGTCGGGCCCAGTCCAGAACAATTTACTTTGTTTTAAATTTTTATTTTAGTAGTAACAATTAATGCATTTAATTTTGGTTTTATATTTTATTGTAACATCATAATATGTATTAATTATAATATTAGTCACCCTTAAAATGATAATTTTAAAAAAGTAGAACTATAAAATTGTAATATTTAAAATTTTAAAAATAGAGTTTTTATGAAACGTCAATTTAATGGAAATTTAAGAAAGGAAATTATTTTTTGTTGTAGAGAATTGTCAATAAAGATTTTAATAACTGAAAAAATAAGATATAAAAAGTAATAATATATATAGTTTTGATTCAATTTAATGAATTTTTTGTCTCCAATTTTGATTATATTTACAATGTTATCATATTATTTTATTATATCTATTAAAATATATAAACGTTATCATATTATTTTATTATATCTATTAAAATATATAAACAATAATTTTTTTGACATTGTCAATAAAGTTTTTAATAATCGGAAAAAAAAATGTATATAGTTTTGTTCTAATTTAATGAATTTTTTACTACAAATTTTGATTGTATTTGAAATATATTACATTATTTTATTATTTATATGTTATTAAATGTATTTTTTAGTATATTTATATTATATAATTTTTGTAATATACGAAAAGAATGTCAATAAAATATAATGGCAATTAGATTTGAAGTCAGAAAATTGTAACAAATGATTTAAAAATGGGATTAGTGGGAAAAACTAATGATTTATTGAGAGTTAAGTAAAAAGAACTAACACATGATATATAAGAACTTAAATAAAAGCATAAATAAGTTTGTAAGATGTGAATTTGTGTAGAGTTAACACAAACAAAATGTAGTTTGTTTTAGAATTATATATTAAAGTTTTATCATTCAGAGTATTGATAGTAACATACTTATTAAAGAAATGGATTGAATTAAAAAAAATGATAAAAACATATGTGAATTTAGAGGAAGAAAAATATTATGTTACAAAAATAATACTACATCATATTTATAATAGAAAGATAAGTGGTATAATGTTAAACTACTAAAATAAGAAATAATGGGAAAAAAAACATAATCTTTTTTATAAAAGAGTTACCATTTCAACAATTTTTTTCTTAATTAAAATTAATAATAAATAAATAGGTTAGTGTATTAGTGACGAAAATAGAAGGGAAATGATTAGTGTTACCAAAAATAAAAGAAGAATTAATATTGTTAAGAGGATGAGTCACTAAATTGTTGTCTTCATATAGTTTTTATTTTAGCAATTAACGTGTTCATTCATTCATTTGTATATATATTTTATCTCTTAAATATAATTATTTTATAATATATTAGAGATTTTCTTTTTCACACATTACAAGAAATCAGGGATGAAATGTTAAATATGATGTAACTAATTCATTTTTCAATGGATTTATTACAGAAGAATCAATGTGTTCGTATTTTTTTTCATTAAAAATGGATAATGACGGTGATGATTAAAAAGGGTCATCCTCTTCAAACTCTTATTTATTATTTTCATTATCATCAAATTTAAATGGTCTTTTATATGAATGACTCATTAACTATCTTAACCATTTTTCTATAAATTAAACAATTTCACGCATAAATCATGACGCAAACTTTCTTTTATTTACTATTTTTCTTCATGTTTTTCTACTTATATTCAATTTTCCATTGATTTACATGAGAGGATTATCTAAGTTTTATAAAGGGAAGACATAGTGTTTTGGTTCTTTAGTAAGGAGAAAAGCATAAAAAGAACCCAAATTAAAGAAATAAAGTGAAATCAAAGAAAACAATAATAAAGAAAATTTCTTTGAGGATCATTTTTTTATTAGTGATATGTTCTAAAAGAAGAAGTTTTTTTTTTTAGAGTCTAGACCTTCCATTTTGAAATTTAATTTTTAAAGAGTTTTTTTCTTTCATGCACATTTGTTTGAATATTTGGCGAAAATAATATACCTATTTGTTTGAATATTTAAAAAAAATCATCTTTATTTTTTATGAGATAATGTGATTTTTTTGTTCTGGAATGAGATCAAACTATTACTTATACTACACACATGATTCATTAATATCCTAATTACTCTTTTATTTCAGTATCCTAACATAAAGAATGCACATTGTTGTCACATCTACAACTCATTTTTCTATAAGCAAATTAGATTGGTGAAAAAGGATATATGAATGCAGTTATATAATATATTTTTATGTTTATTATTATATTGTTGATTATTGTTTATTTTGAATTAATAAATTGCTATAGACTTTGTTTTAAAACAAAAGAAGTCTCTCAGTATTTTAATAACAATTTACTTATCACAATAAAGATTACAAAATAAAAATTTAAAAATAATTATATAGTTCATTCTTTGATTTATCAATAGTTTTGAATTTTTACTTAATAATCTTAATTGGTATGATTAAATTCTTATTAAAATATTTGAAGACTTGTTTGATTTTTAAAGCAAGTTTAAAATAAATTATTTTTCAAAATAAATTGTGAAAAAATATAAATCTATAAAATGCAGATACAACATTAAAATAGTTTTTTTTTTAAATTAAATTGTTTTTTCTAAGAGCTAATTTAAAAAAAAAAAAAGAAGACAATTTAGGCTTTTGATTATTTAAAATTCATATTATTTTTTAAAATTTTTTATTTTATTATTGAAAAATATTTATAATTTGGAAAATTCTAATTTTGAACAAACATGCTAAATACATTTGCTTTATATTTTATATCTATATCCTAACTAAATATTATGTATGTTTATAACAAATAAATTAGATACAATTTAATCATCAAATAAAAATATTTTTGGTAAAACTCTCTTCTTATGGAATGTTTAAATATAAAGTATAATAGAAACAAAATTGAGTAAGATGCTCTTAATATAATTTTTTTAAATCTTAATCATTAATTAAATTTGACGATTATATAGATAATTCTTATTTCTCACGAAAGATATTAGTTCTCATCTGACACGCTATATATACAAATTTTATGGTGGTAATTGTTTTTCTCAATTTTATAGGAGATTTAAACAAACTGATTTTGGTACATGTCTGAATGTGAGTGATTGCATTAATACTTTTTATGTCTATGGTATGGGAGAGTAGAGTTTGATAAGATTATTATAGAAAGAAACGGGACATGAGGGATAATATTTCTAAGGTTGAGCTCAGTAGACATTTTATATCTCACTCTCAAATCATTTTGTCACTATGTGATTGTCACAGAATAAAACACCTCTAGTCTCCATTCATGTTTTTGTCTTTGCTTCTCTTTTATCTTTTTGTGGGACCATCACTCAATTGGACTAACATTTTCTTTCTTTTTATTTATCCATTGATTTTCATGTTCATACCAAGAATTTTAAGTTACATTTATGGTGTTTGTTGTTTCCTTCAACTTCAATTATTTATCAAGTGATATAACATTGCGTCTACATAGACCCTTACAGTTTTATCATTAGTAAATTATGATCCGTTAGATTGAGAAGTATGAGTGTTATATATAAACTAACGATATGAGTGGAACACGCGGCAACGGCCACAATTTAGAAGCACACAATGCACTCAAAGTTCACTGACTTATCCATAATGCAATGACTATATAATAACCACTAAAATGTGAAATATTGAACACACTCAAACCCATCATTTATGGTACACTATCTTAACGAAATTAATTCATCAAATTTGTCTCTATGACCTCTCTTTCATGCTAAAATCCAATTACTACACAATAACAACACTATCTCACACATAACTGGCACCAATTCACAAACTGTGTTTCAAAACAAATGATTCTGCTTAGAGTATTACGTTTGTTTATATTCTGTTTGGTTTTATCAACACTTTGTTCCATTACCAAATGTGGAAGTTCAGATGTAACTGTGAAATTCTTGAAAGCACCTCATGCATTTTCTCACTTGAATTCAGCAACATTTGCTTTTGAAGTTCTTAATTCTGGTAGTAACCGTACTTGCTCAAATTGCAGCCTCAGTTGTAAGGTTTGTATGCCACTAAGTTTCTGTAAGATTATGTTTAGTTTGTAACTTTCTAATGGTTTCGTCGATATTTAGGCCAATAAGTTGTTTTGTTTCTAAGCTTACTATGTGTGCAGCTTGATGATGGGGTCGCGTCAGTTTGCACGAACGGGAGAGTTACATACTTAAGCTTGCAAGATGGAAATCATGGTTTTGAAGTCTGCACCAACGGAAATCATAGTTTTGTGGGCTGTGCTAGCTACAACTGGACTGTTGGTTAAGAAACCATACTTCATTCCTATGTTTTTATTTATCAGTCTGTTATTGCCGGTGAATTTGGCCTTTTACATGCTTTTGTGTCTTTGGAGTGATAAAAATCATTTTTAACTTTTTCAGACACAATTCCACCAACAGCATATGTTACAGCCTCAACAACTTTCACAAGTTCTTCAAATGTTTCGGTAAATATATCTTTCACCGAACCGTGTATAGGTGAAGGTTTTGGATGCAAGTCTGTGAATGCCTGCAATGTAAGCATATGTCCATCTACAATTGCTTAGATTTCTCAAAACAAGACGGAGCGAGTACTGTGTTACCATAATATTAGATCCATTTTTAACTTCTTGCTGTTATATTTCTTTGCAGCTTCTTGTCTATGGTGCTGGCCAGGTTGTACCATCTTCCTTTAGAGTTCTGAAGCCAAACCTCATGTATTCTCTTCTTGTTAGTTTATCTCCTACCGTTCAATACGGCCGAGCAATCCTGGTAATGGATAGGAGTTTCTGTACTGACATAGCTGGTAACAGTTTTACAAGAATGGCGAATTCGAGTGTTCATCTACATATTGGTGAGTGCTATCTTTCTTCTGTCATTCTAGCGGTATTAGTACTGGATATAATTAATAATTCACGAGGATTTGATGTTCGAAAATATGATCCACAGACAGAAGAAAGGTTTATGTCAACATCAGGACTCGTGTACCTGAAAAGCTACTTCGAATTAACAGTGAAACTAGAACAATTCAGGCAACTAATGACCTTAACAAGCTAAAGGTGTATTTGTACTTCTCGTCTCCAATTGTAAATTCATCTATGGAAGTTATGAGTTCTCTCAACGTTAGTCGCGGTTCACTCGTTCCAACTAGTGCAGAAAATCTTGGAAATCGTAGATTCGGATTCATGGTTTGTTAATTCTTGGATGTGATCATATGAATGCTTTTCAACTGTATCTCTTCTCCTTACACAACTTTTTTCCGACTAATTGTTAATGCAGATTGCTAATATCTCCTCCACTGCTATAGTCTCGGTTGAATTCAATTTGAAATCTATAATAACCAGACAAGGGACTCATGTTTCTCCAACTGCGCCGGTTAATTTTCTCTATGGTACATATTAATGATGTTACTTACTCACCAAGTAAACACTGTTTGGATTTATAAGCTAATATTTTCATGGAATTCAGATTCTAAGAGGCCTGCGGTGATGTTAAGTACACATAGAATGAGGACAAAAGATCACAATATACAAATATTAATCGAATTTTCAAAGCCTGTTTTTGGATTCAATAACTCCCGCGTATCAATTTCAGGAGGTTTATTAAAAAGGCAAGTGTAACACTGATTCACTGAAAAATGAAAAGTCAAAAGCAAATTGATAATTGATTTTTTTCTCTTGCAACTTTTCATTTCTGTCTAGCTTTCACAAACTTAGATGGAGCACATACATTCTTGAGCTACAAGCGGATGATGATTTGGTATTCGTCAGCGTTCCCGAGAACGTAACTCGTGATGTTTCCGGAAACAAAAATCTAGCTTCCAATGTTCTACAAGTGAGGCACTGTAAGATTTTCGATACTAGTAATCAAAATTTTATTTTCATTTGTTAGATGCAAGTTTTTCTTAAAAAAATCTACTCATTTATACATATTTACGATTTCATGAATCATGCAGACTCAGTACCTCTTATTTCTTCTGTGATTTCTGCATTTACAACTGCTACTTTTGCGCTGACATCGATTATTGCTGGCCTGCTTACTATCTCAACTGCAAGTCTTCAATCTGTCGATACATTCACGAGATCGTCTTCTTTCTTGATAGTTGATCCAGCAAGGAATCTCTTTGTAAGATATCTATAAATAACATATATATTAATGTATTATCTTGACTAATGTGTATTTGATTCATATTAATTTGTGCTAATCATGTAGAGAATTCTGTGCCATATTCAAGTCTTTGCACTAGCAAGATGGTTATCAGTTAAGTTGCCAGTTGAATTTTACGAATTTTCAAGGCATTTGCAATGGACCATACCTTATTTTTCGGTTCCATGGGAATCTGGACCTATGAGTTTGTTCATGGTGGGTTCTAGTCCTTTTGGAAGCTCCGGTTCCTTTGCTAAAACTTCAGCAACAATCCCGAACATGCTGTTAGGCCAGAGTTTGAATTATGGTGTTTCGGTGTATGGTTCTCCGCTTACTTCTTCCGAGTATCAACAATATTTCGAGGTCAGAAGTTAGTTTATATATCAATCAAGCAGAGAAAGTTGATTTGTTATGAACAATCAATGTCCTTAATGAATAATGCTTACCTGCAGAGCGAAAATATGAAACCGGAAGCTGAATATATTTTGGATTCGCAACATTCCAGCGGGTAAGTTGTGTAATATGTTAGTGAAATTGTGTATATGATAATACTTCATTATCACATTGTTTGTTTGTTTTTTGTGTAGATGGACAGATTTTTATAGAACCATGTTTTGGCTAGTTGTGATCTGCGGCGGATTGATGGTCCTGCATGCTTTTCTACTCATTATTCTCAAATTTAGGAAGAGGAATTCTGAAAAGCCAAGAATGTATGGAGCACTCATTTTCCCAAGATTTGAGATATTTCTTTTGTTTCTTGCACTACCTGGTATTTGCAAGGCCTCTTCTGGCCTTATTAAAGGTAATTTACTTCAATGTCTTCGCTATGAAACACTGACACAAACACGGACACTATACACAAACTCTGATAATAATTTGAGAAAATTAAAGTTATTGAATATTATAACCACATGTGGCTGTGTCAGACCCTAGACATACCTTCAATATGAAGTGTCGGTGTTGCGTTGATTATTTGACACTTTACCATTACCATATACAATTTGTTTCATTAGGCTTTTTTTTCTTTCTCATTTGTTTGTATGGCTTTAGGGGGAACACCTGCAGCAATGGCAGTTGGAATTATACTCTTGATTTTGGTTTCTATTGTGCTTCTAGCTTTGTTCTTGTTCCTATCAGTTGGAATCACATTTGGGAAACTTCTTCAATACAAAGAAGTTCATCATGAAGGTGAGACATTTCATTGGTATCAAGAGCTTATAAGAGTAACTCTTGGACCAGGTAAAAGAGGTCAATGGACATGGAAGGAAGAACCGAAATCTGTTTATCTAACTATATTTGGTCCTCTATTTGGAGACTTAAGAGGTCCTCCAAAGTACATGCTTTCACAAATATCAGGCGGAAGTCATCCGAGTCAAAACGACCGAATTATTGCCTCAGATGATGAAACAGAAGATTCAGAAGCACCTTTCATTCAAAAGCTCTTTGGAATTCTCAGAATATATTTTGTGCTTCTCGAATCCATTAGGCGCGTTATGCTCGGGATTTTGGCAGGCGTCTTCATTCAGACACTATCACATTCGTCTAAGAGTCCCGTCATTATTATGCTATCTATAACCTCTTTTCAGCTATTCTTCATTGTGCTAAAGAAGCCTTTTATCAAGAAAAAGGTTCAATTAGTCGAGATCATTTCACTCACATGCGAAGTTGCATTTTTCGCTACATGTTTCATCCTCTTGAAGAAAGACTTTTCTGTGAAAGTCGAGACTAAATTCGGGATTTTCATGCTTGTGTTGTTTTTAGTCAGCTATTGCTCGCAGATGACAAACGAATGGTATGCTTTATATGTACAAACAAAGCTACTAGACCCTAAGGAGAAGTCATTGTTAATAGGTTTGAAAATTGCTTCAATTGGGTTTGTTTTGTACTTCATTCCTAAGAAATGGGTACAAAACTTGGAAAGCAAGTTACCTCAAAATGGACATGCGAATGGCGAAACGGGTGAAAGAAGTACGCATTCGGGTAGTAGGAGCTCAGGTACACCTGATATACCTTGGTTGAAAAGAGTAAGTGAGCTTGCGAAACGCAGCTTTAGTAGGGAAAGAAGTGGAGTTCAAATGACTGATCCTTCTTCTAGTAGTAATAATACTAGATGGAGTAGTTTATGGGGAAATAAGAGAAGTGGTAGCTCTTCTTCTGATTATAAGTCAAAACCAAAAGCTTTGCATGAAGATTTGGAAGCTATTTTTGCATCTAAGTCATAATATTAAAAGTATAGTTAGAGTTTGCATGTGGATTTGCCATACTTACATACTTATAAACTTTTTTCTGGTGTTTATATAATGTAGAATTATTATATTTATTTTTGTTTGTCTGTGTATTTGCACACATTATAAAGGTTGTTAAGGCTCCAAATCATAATATAAATGGCTTGTAACCATCCTGTATATGACCAAACTATATGGCTACCAACTTATCTCAACATAAAATCCCATAAAATACCCCAATTGACCCAAATCTTTGATTTTGAATTTTGATCTAAGATCTTCCTAACAAACTTAATTTCATGACTAAAATTTCCAGCTAATACAATGGCATCCACATTAAATAATAATGTTGTAAATCTAGTATTATTGGACTTGGCATACAAAGAGTGAGTGATAAACTTGTGATTGTGAATATCATAGGGAAATCAAGGTAGGATGTTAAAAATCAAAACACCTGCAGCAAGACTCAAATAACAAAAAAAAGTTAGAGCTCAGAGGCATATTTTTCATCCAATTTTTGGGAACATGATGTTACCGAACATCACTATGATATTCATCACAGCTCTAACAAACTTGCACCAGCCGGGAATCGAACCCGGGTCTGTACCGTGGCAGGGTACTATTCTACCACTAGACCACTGGTGCTTGTTGAAATGAATGCGAAAATAAAAGTTTATACTACTCTTACATAACTGCATAAAATCTATCATGTACTTACGTATAATATTTTCTCTTCGAAGAACAATCCCTCTCAAATACTTTTAAGGTGTGTTTAGTGGTGAAAAGAAATTATGAAGGGAAAAATAGACGAAAAAGAAATAGATGAGAAATATAGAAAATTTAATATATTATTTAATATAAGTGAAAAATAAGAGAAATAGAAGGAAAAAAAGTGTGTGAAACTTTTAAAAGGACTATAATCTCCTTACGTTAAAAACTTATAATTTTATTATTTACACATGAATTAAATTATTTATTTACTTTATAAACTGATTGTTTCAAAAATATTTAAATTTAATTAATTTAATTATCATTAATTAATGTTCAGTTTTTTACTATAGTGTAATTTTATTATCTTAAATATTAGTGCTTTTCGTTATTAAATTTTTTGTATTTGCTTTTGATTGGTATTTAATTAGTTGGGGGTAGAATTGAGATAGACTTAAAATTGTAGCATTTATATTTCTTTCTTCGCATAAGAGAGGAGAAAGGATTTATATGTGGAGCTCATGTTTAAATTTCACCAACCATTATTTATTAATATTAGGGGTTTACATGATGTCGATTTGGGTTTAACTCGGACCCAAAATATCAAACTAGCTTAAATCATGGATCCATTTGTTAGATCCAATCTTGACTACTATTGTATGATAATATTAGAATTAGAAATAGGTTAGTCTTTCATAGATTCTTTTATTCTCTTTTTGCATATACATTTAAAACTAAAATTTTCTTTTTCTTAGTAAATCATAAAACATGTTAATCACACTTAAATCCTTTTTCAAGGTAACAAAATACAAACCAATTAAATGTGGCATCTTGCCTTGAGAGCGTAACTCAAAACCATTTTCAGATAATGACATGTTAATTTACTTTTGTGTCAACGCGTGAGTCTCCAAAGGTCGGGCTACGGCAGAAGGTGGAATTAACATTGTTCATAAAAAATACAAAACAAACAAAAACATGTGAGACGAACTACGATAACTCTGATTCCTCAAAAAGGATAAGTATGCATTAGGATAGGACCCAAGCAAGCACAACTTTATTTTCCCTATATTATTTTCTCATTTCTTTTGCATACATTCTTCCTCAGTAGTAAGCAGTAAGCATAGATTAAACACACCCATAAGATAGATAACAAGAGTGGATACATTCCCCTCACATAACAGACTCCCTTACCCGATCTCTCGGTCGCAAGACCGTGACTTCTCCCTTCTTAGGTTTTCTCGATATTTACCTTTCCCTTCATGTGGGATAAAAGACGTTCGATGGCGACCTCATTGTTTGATGATTTTTAGCTAGTTGTTTCAGCTGGAGACTTCACTAGGGAATGATCGACCAATTGCAGGTCCATCTCGGAGTCGCTCCTAGCTCTTGTTTTCTTTTTTTTTTTGTATTTATTTTTATGCTGTCGGTTTATTCGTTTATATATGATTATCTGAGCATATGTTTGCATTGTATTTTATTGCTTTCCATATTGGTTATCTACTGTGTTGACTTCTGGTTTTCCATGTTGGGTGGGTGTTACAAGAGATAAAAGGCCCAATGCTCAGACCAAGTGACAACCATAAGAACCCTAGGAATAGAGTGGAACATGATCGGCTAGTCGACTTTGGTTTGCTAGTACGGTCATGTCGTCCATGCTCAAATGAGATTACAAATGAGGTGCTATCGTTTCACATAGGTGTTTCGACGATAGTGGCTTCAGGCGTATCCATGATTCTGAGTTACCATTTCCTTACCATGACCTAGTTTCGCCCGTGAGGGAGAAGGGGTGATTCTTACGGGTACCGTTGGTGACTTGCTCTGTTGGTGACTATGATCTGATGGTGACTGTATGTTCTGTCGGTGATTATGCGGTCCTTAGATTTATTTTCTAAGTTCTGAAGCTGATGTTTATGGTGTACTTCTGGTTATGTTTCGAACCTGTGATCCAGGTACTACCAGACTATGCAGAGACATTACAACAAAAATCAGTACCATGGAAGTAGTAATCCCATTATCACCTGCACTTGCATCATATCATGTTTACTTTTTAAAAGAAATGTCAGAAAAATAAAACTATATACTAACCTTGCATGTGCATGTCCATTCCGGGGTATCTCACGAAGTTATAGTTTCCGTCAGTAACGTCTAGCAACAATGATGTTCCCAAGAGGACCAGAAGATACAATTTCACTTATCAGTTTCGCTCAAGTTCTTGGCCTTCTTTGAAGAGTTTGAAATATCGTTTAGTTCATCCCAATGTAGAGGCTTTCAGTGAAAGACATGGGGGGAACTTTGACTCTATTAGGTGTTCGGGTGGATAATGGAGCTCTCCGGACTCTACTTCAGTTTTACGACTATGAGTTACACTGTATCACCTTCCAGGATTATCAGATCACTCCTACTTTGGAAGAGTAATCTCATTTGCTCAAGATCACCGAGCACATGTCGTTTGTTGTTGTTCTGAACGAGCCCGATTATGAAGTTGTTGCTAAGGCACTTTATTTGGGCCTTAGTGATGTGAAACAAAGATGGAGAAAGAATAGTAGTCTAACCTTAGACTTCTTGGTCAGTAAAGCAGGAGAATGGCTAGAGATGGTACTTGGTGCACAGTCTATGGCACAGTTCAACAAGGAGATTGAAAATCTCAAAAAGCATGATGGAAGCAATAATGGGGGCAAAAGCATCAGTCACAAACGAAGATTATATTGATTTGTTGACTCGGTTTCGTAATCTAGAGATCATGATGGTCAAGAAGGATGAGGTGATTCAAAGTCTGGTTTTGAACACTTGGGGCACAGTCCGTTGCATTTTTTAGATCTAGGAGATTGATTATTGTATTTCCTATCTTGTTGTTCCAATTACCACCAGGCTTGTTGGGTGGAATCACTTATCTTGTACTTTTGCAACTTTCTTGTATTGAACTTCGTTAGGGATTTCTCCCTTTCCCGTTATTACATGAGCAATATTGGATACTTTCTTTATATGGTCGTTCTTATTATCATTGTTGTACCCCAAAATTTTTCCTCCCATATTTCTCAAAATATTTCAAGAAAGATCCCCAAGTTGCTCAAGGAAGTCCAAGGGTTGACCAAACAAACTCTCTCCTAAGGCAGTCTACCTCAAATCAGGGTTTCATATTGCATTAAGTTACTTGAGTCTAATGGATCCCAAATGCTCAACATTGTCCTAATATATTCTCAAGGTCATCCATATCAAGTTTCAAGCCCTACAGAGAAAATTTGCTCAGTCAATTGCTCAAAGGCCTGAAAATCGACTGTGTTAGGGCAAAAGTCAATTGTGGCCCACATACAGTCAAACTTCAAGATTTTTAGTCAACATACTTATTTTGAATTATATTTCATCATTTTATCAAGGGTTGATCATGATTCATCAAGGATTGCTCATAATTCCTCAAGAACCAAAAGTTACTAAATTATGGTTTTATAGGAAAAGTCAACTCAACTTTGACCAAGCATAACTTTCTCATACTTTATGAGAAATGACCCATCCAAAGCTAATTTTGAAGAGGATTCCATGCTCTACAATCCATCTTCAGCTCCCAAGTTCAAAATATGCACTCACAAGAAGTTATGAATTTGGACATTATAGGTCATTTTGAAAAGTCAACAAAAACACCTTTTTTGTCAAAGCTTCATACATGAGAATGGAATATCAAATTGATATGACACAAAAAGGATTGGTTAGAGGACATCTCAAGCTTTCTAAAAAGTCCAAGAACACCTTCAAAGAGTCAAAATTGAGGAAGTTATGCATTAGTGAAGTTGACCCTTTTTGCAAAATTGCCAAAAGTCAACTATGCCTAAAAATGCAAATTTTCCTTAATGGGACCACTCTTTTGCACTTGTTTTGAGTTGGCAACATGAACCACGAGCCCTAAACTTTTCAACTTGTCATTATCTTGTTTTTATTATTTATTTTGATTTTTATTTGAATTAAATCAATTTTAATCAAAATAAATCATGGAAAATCTAAAGCATTGAAAACTCAAGATTTTGTACTTGTTTCAGGTCTCAAATTCAGTTGGCAAGTATTCAAATTCGTGTAAAGGCATGAGGTGCACAAAAATATTGGATTTGAACTATTTTTGGAATGGTTTTCAAGTGTATCAAATCACAATCAAATTCAATAATGAAGGAAGATTATGATCATTCTTTCAACCCTAATATATTCCTCAATACATAAAGAACGTGTGCATACCAAAAGAGGCTAGAGAGGGAGGCATATGAACCAGAACAAAAACTTGAAAAAACAAGAAAAAGTGCAAACAC